TGCACCGCTGGTGCAAAAAGGGAACAGAGGTTTTTTCGCTCCGCGCGCAAAAAAGGAAGTGTCCGAGCCTGCTGGTGAGTGAAACAGTTCTACAAATTCTAAAAATTCTAAAAGTTCTAAAAGTTTTAACAGTTCTAAAAGTTCTAAAAGTTCTAAAAGTTCCAAAAGTTCCAAAAGTTCCAAAAGTTCTAAAAGTTCTAAAAGTTCTAACAGTTCCAAAAGTTCTAAAAGTTCTACAAATTCTAAAAGTTCTAAAAGTTCTTAAAGGTTCTAAGAGTTCTAAAAAGTTCTAACAGTTCTAAAAGTTCTAAAAGTTCTAAAAGTTGTAAAAGTTCTCAAAGTTGTAAAAGTTCGAAAAGTTCTAAAAGTTTTAAAAGTTCTAAAAGTTCTAAAAGTTCTAAAAGTTCTAACAGTTCTAAAAGTTCTAAAAGTTCCAAAAGTTCTACAAATTCTAAAAGTTCTAAAAATTCTAAAAGTTCTAAAAACTTTTAAAAGTTCTAACAGTTCTAAAAGTTCTAAAAGTTCTAAAAGTTTGTTCTCAAAGTTGTAAAAGTTCGAAAAGTTCTAAAAGTTTTAAAAGTTCTAAAAGTTCTAAAAGTTCTAAAAGTTCTTAAAAGTTCCAAAAGTTCTAAAAGTCTTAAAAGTCCTAAAAGTTCTAAACGTTCTGAACGTTCTAACAGTTCTAATAACAGTTCCAAAAGTTCTAAAAGTTCTAAAAGTTCTTAAAAGTTCCAAAAGTTCTAAAAGTCTTAAAAGTCCTAAAGGTTCTAAACGTTCTAAACGTTCTAACAGTTCTAATAACATTTCTAAAAGTTCTAAAATTTCTAGCCGAACAGTAAACTTCCAAGAAGCAAGACTGCACGAAGCACACCCGAAATTCCCACGCACCCCAAACGCAACTAGCGCGAAAACCCAATACTCCTTAATTCAGGGATATGGGAGTCTCTGGGCTCTTGATCTCGGAGAGGAGGATCCGGACACTCGCCTTGGGCAGCTCCTGAATGCTCCGGAAGTGAACACCCTGAAATCCTGCAGCTTTCCGAAGGCGCGCGTTGCAAGCGCTTTGAAGCCATGGCTAGTTGGGTTTAGTGCCATTTAGGCTTCGGGACTATCCTAAACCCTAAACCCTATAGATCCCTTTAAGGAACCCTTTAAGGAACCCAAAACCCTAAACATTTTCAACCAAAACTTCCGCAGGCACGGGCCTTCTTCATGTCCAGCAGTCGTTTTGCACAAGCACTGCTCGGTTGTATGCACGCCGCATGCTGGTGAACTTGTCACTAAGGCCCTACACCCTAAAACCCTAGAACCCTAAAAACCGTAAAACCCTAAAACCCTAAACCCTAAAACCCTAAACCCACAGAGATCCCTTGAAGGTCAAAGCCTTCTGGGTTGGCGCATCCCGGCAGTTCGCCAGCACCTGGGCCGCGAGGTCCCAAAATGTCACCGTCGCCATCGGCTATCACACGCAGCAAGGTTGGTCTTACTGGGTTTTATAGGGTTTTATAGGGATTCATAGGGTTTTTATAGGGTTTTGTAGTTCCCTTAATTAAGGCATTTTCCCTGAAATTATAATAGGAACCCTAATAAGATTTAAGGTCTATTCCTTAATTAAGGGATATCGGAGTCTCTGGGAAGGACGATCTTACAAGACCCTCTTTGACACTGTCTTCTACAGAAGTGAGCTGAAAGCTGCAGTGCAAGCCTTCCGGGACAAACTGCGGGTGAACATCATATTTACGCACCCCGACATGACCGAAGGTGACATGGACGGTGCAACTTCCGTGATCTACGAGAGGGCTCAGCTACTTTCCCCCGTGCCCGCCGAGAAGTTTCAGGCAAGCACCACGTGGTGCTTTGGTCACTGTGCCAAAGAGAACCTTGCATTCTGCCAGATTCAGCATCTCCTCGCCAAGGATGCTACCTTCTTCTCCAACCTCGGGTCCATGTACTCCCAGGGTTTGGGGGTGGCCCACAACTCTCAAAAGGCGCGGGAATTCTTAGAACTCAGCATGGAGATGGGCCATGAAAAAGCCCCCACCAATCTTGGAATGTTGTACCAGAATGGTGATGGCGTAGCCGAAGATCTTCGCAAGGCCAAAGAACTCTACGAGCTGGGAATGAAAAGAGGTGACGAAGGGGCCCCTGACCTGCTTGGAAGGTTGTACCAGCGTGGGCAGGGCGTGGCGCAAGACTTTCGCAGAGCCAAGGAATTCTATGAGATTGCCATCGACAGGGGTGACACTGGCGCCTGCTACTGGGTTCTGGAGTACCATACTTGAATACTTTCTTTTGGACCTGGTCCTTAAAGGAACCATTATAAAGTAAAAGTCTATACTTTTTCTCCATGGTTACTTCAAAATCCAGGCTATTCCCTTGGGAAAATGTATCAGCACGGCCTTGGAGTGGCCCGCGACTTGCAAAAAGCACGAGAACTCTTTGAGCTGGGCACACAACGGGGTGACGCTACATCCCCCGTGTTCCTTGGGAGCATGTACTATCTTGGGCAAGGTGTTGCGAAAGATTTCCGGAGAGCGCGGGAACTCTTTGAACTCGGCACGCAGAGGGGCGACTCCATGGGCCCGTGCAGCCTTGGACTCTTGTATCAGAAAGGGCAAGGTGTGCCAGAAGACTTGAAGAAGGCCGAAGAAATGTACGAGATCGGCATCGAAAGAGGCAACGACTTTGCTGTGCAACTGCTTTGGGGCCTTGGGTACGTGTACGAGCAGATGGCTCGCGACTTTAAAGTGTCGGGGGCATACGACCCTTTAACGCAAGAGCATTATCAGGATGCAGCCTACAACAAGGCCAAGGAGCTCTACGAGTTAGCCATTGCCAGCGGCAGCATTTCGGCCATGTGGGACCTGGCTTTTTTGTACAAGAACGATCTAAGCTCCGATGAGCTGGCATGTCATTGGATGGCCAAGGCGAAAGATGCCGGGGAAGGGCAAGCTGCCAGCAAGCTGGCCGAATGGCGCTGCTGAGAACCTGCCAAAACGTCTTCCGTCTTCCGTCTTCATCGCAGTAGCAGCCGTGACAGTGGCAGTGGCAGTGATACTAAAACTAGTAACTAGTAGTAGTAGTAGTAGTAGTAGTCGTCGTCGTCGTCGTCGTAGTAGTAGTAGTGGTAACAGTCGTCGTTGTAGCAGTAGCAGTAGCAGCAATAGTAGCACAATGTCCAGAATCCCGATGAACTATCCGACGTTACCTTTGCAGCTCTTGGGCTGTTCCACAGGCGCTTAGGGGGGGGGGGGGTCTCTGAGTTTTGCGACGCGACCCGTAGAGTCCGTATGCAGTCATATCATATCACATCACATCACATAATGTCATATCATATCGTATCTTATCATGTCATAACATGCCATGAGATATCTCCCCAAAGCCCTGTTCTTTGTGATACAGGCCCTTAAAGCCTTATCGTAGAACCCTCAGAAAAGCCCTCTGAAACCCCCCATTCGAAGAATTATGCAACACCCTGGCCAGCAAGAAACATTGAGAATTGAGATTCTGATGGTCCCGAAAACCCTATATAATCCCTAAAATCCCTAACCCCATATAAACCCTAAACCCTATATAAAATCTAAACCCTATATCAAACCCTAAACCCTAAATCCTCAAATCCCATGGGCATCCCATGTGGTTGAGCATGGGCCGACTGTGAAGCCTGGATGAAAGCGAATCTGGGCCGCCGTTGCATTGTGTTTCAGCCAAGTCGACCATGATAGTAGTTTTGGGCTTAGGGTTTAGGGGTTTAGGATTTAGAGGTTTAGAGTTTAGGTGTCTAGGGTTTAGGGTTTAGGGTATAGTAAAGTATAGCATAGCATAGGATAGTATAGTATAGTATAGTATAGTGTATGGTGTAGTATACTCTTAAGAAGGACAGACAGACAAAGTTATGATTCTGATATTGTTCAGGCCGAAAAAGAGCAGCCCAGGAAAATGCTGTCACAAAGTTTCATGCTTCGATTCTTTAGTCCGGCTCTTTTCGTCATTGCTTCAGTGAGTGCCGAGACTTCGACTTGTTTAGCCCGTCCAACGCCGGCGGAAGAGAGGACAAACATCACCATAGGCCGGAAATTCAGAAACTGTGGGACCCTGATTAGGGTCAGGGTCATACGGTTGGTGTAAATCCTGCGTTACTCATAGCAAGGAATATACCATAATTCCCATAGTTTAGGGTCCATAAGGTAATGCAGATTTATATCAACAACAGTATTAGAACAAACGCCCTAGATTAATCCCCAGGTGATTTTTCTATGCCGATTGGCATAGCGTCCGGAGATTGGCAATTTAATCTGATCCTTGCGGATCTCGTTGCAATCTTGCTTGAGGAAGTGCTGGGATATAACGTTGCGAAAGTCGTGACAGGGTCAGAGCTGCAAAAGCTGCTCAGTGTGGCTGGCTGCTCAATGGCCACTACTGGTATCAGTTGTGCTTACCCGTCGTTCTATCACATTGCTCTGGAGGTCATGGAATTTCATACCACCTTGTCGGAATGGTCTACAGCTCTGGAGCAGCTCGGGGATCTAGCCCCAAACGACTTGGGAACCCTGGGCTACGAGGGCTATGAAGGGATGTTCATCTTCGAGCAGCCTCGAAAGAAGTGTCTCGAGGAAACTGGCCTAGACTTGTCCTACTTCTTTTCATTCAATGCTTCCTGGTTCCATCCGGAGAACTACCTGGCGACCATCGGTTCAGTTGACATGGACCGGCTGCTCCCTTGCTCGCAACGCCTCTACGTGGAGTGGCCAGATTTGGGAGACCAGTACCTCAGCGCAACTGGGGACTCAGAGGGTGTCGAGTTTGTGGCTTCAGCTCGCCTGAAGTGCTGGGAAGGGAAGTGGTGGCTGGCACCAGCTTGCCGATCCAACGCTTCGAGATGCGTTGCGGTGGTGACGGGGCCAGAGGCACGACTACTGTAGGGCCTTAATAATTAGAAGAAAATGGTTTTTTTTGGGTTATATTGCACTATACTGATAGTGCAGAACCCCCCAAAATAGTATTGGTAATTATTCAGGCTCCTATAGTAAGTCCGAAGTCGCTAAGCTCTAAACCATTCCAAACCCCAAGCCCTAACCCCTGACCCAAAAACCCCACACCCGAACCTGTCACTCTGAACCCAGAGACTCCAAAACCCTAAATTAATAAACATACCTTGAATCATATTAGGGTTCCAATTATTATTCCTTAATTAAGGGGTTTTGGAGTCTCTGGGAAACCCGGTCCGGAGGCTTGGGGGATGCCTTATATGGTGCAGCAAGCAGCCTTTCACAACATGCCGCTTGCGATCGCATCAGCTTTGGATACTCCTACCTACGAAGAGATCAATCGCGAGCTCCAGTCTGTGTTCTACTGGTGGGAGTTTGCAAACTCAGGGATTACAGCTGACCTCTCATGAGTATGCACTAACTTAAACAACTTAGCTAAACAATGTATATATGTATATACATATATATAGATATACACGATTTCCTACTCTCGCTCTCACACATCATTCATATGACTACAACCAAACACACTAATAACGTGAATATGCCTATGCATATGTGTATATATATATATAATATGGGTATGTCAGTATTCTAAGACGTAAGGGAAGTTACGAATATACTTCAATGCGAAACACCAATATGTTGATATAACAACGTACTAACACAGTAATATACAAATGCGTTAATATACTCGTATACCGTATACCAGTAGAATTATAAGACTGCAGTATTCTGATAGATTAGGAAGTGGATATACGAACATATTAGTATATGCCAACAGGCGAATATGATATACAATGATCGAGTCCTACAGTGCGAGAGCCTGAAGAAGAACAGCTTGGTTCCGCAATGTGGCGTCTAGGGTTTGGGGTATAGGATTGAAATTGATGGTTGGTTTACCGTTTAGGGTTACGGGTTTTAAGTCTTCGTTCCTACACATCACAAGACGATACACCAGATGCTCGTCCCAAACTCAACCGCTCTGTCGTAGACCCCTCCAAACCCGGAAGCCTCTATGAGACCCCATTGAACCTCGTATGAACAACCAACAAACCCTTATTTGTCGCAACAAGAACAAAGATTCACTTCTCGGAGCGGCCTGTAGCCGTAGCTATATTGGGGTTTCCGAAAAGAGGGGACCCCAATATACTACCCTAAGTAGTAGGATCCTGATTACAAGGACCCCAAAATAAGGTACCCCTAATTTTCGGAAACTCCCATGTAGCCCCTTTGAAAGCCGCTCTGCAGGTGGAGTCCCGACCCCACCTTCGCAGCCTTCGAAACCAGAGCTGTTGTTTTCCCGCCCCACAACGCTGCCGAACACAGGCCCTGATTGTTTCTTCAAGTCGAGAGGGGCAGGGTTTAGGGGTTTTTTAGGTTTAGAGTTTAGTTAGGGTGTAGGGTTTATATGGTTTAGGGTTTACGGTTTGCGGTTTGGGGGAGTGTGTTAAGGTTTTCTGAGGGGTTTTTAGTTGGTTTGGGTTGCAGGGTTCTCTGCTTCGGGCTGCTTGGGTTTCACGCTGGGCTTTCGGGGTTTGGGCTGGGGCTCTTTGTACAACTGATTAGACCGGCCCCATGTAAGCATATTCCAAATCAACCACTGGGGCATGGTCTGTAAAAGACTACCTGACGTCTGCCCTAAAGCCTTCACCTTCAAACTACCCATAAAGCAACAAGGGCTTCAGGGTCTTAAAGGTTTTTTAGCGTTCAGGGTTGTTTGAAAACATGACAGGGGTACTTGTTGTCCATCCATACAGGAGCAAGACAGTATAGTAGAGTATAGCGCAGTATGCTAGAGGAAAGGGTAGTAGAGTATAGGGGAGTAGCGTCGACTGGCATGTGGTCTAGTAGATCCTAGGTAGTATTAGGGAGACCCCTTAAGGGGGGACCCTTCTGAACCCTACTTGTGGCTCTCTTCAAAGGGACCTTATTGAGAGGGTCTATATCCCCAAGGGTCTCCCTAATCCTAACTCCCAGTAGAGAGGCAGGGAATCTACCAGACCCAGCCGAGCACGGAGCCAGTACTGAAATTGGTTTCCTCTGGCTTGGAATCCTCCGCGCGACGTGCTTACCGTCTCCTCGAAAACATGCAGATCAAGGACGGAGTACAGATGTCTGAGTTGTTAGCCGTAAGCGTCCATGTAGCTTAGTATAATACACCCCAAACCTTGCTCTAACCGTGAAAACGCTCTAGCGGGCTTAATATTCTATGATCTAAGAATCTAAGACTAATATAAGACATATTCCTCAGTTGAGTGAGTACTGGGCTTTCTGGTTAGGGAGCGGAGTTTTGGGCTTCAAGGGTTTACTCAGGTAGGTAGCTCCAGGGTCCAGGAGTTCAGGGTTTCAGAGTTGTCTGGGGTGTTGTTTTAGGGATCGTTCTCACTGTGGTTCCGTTGAGTTTAACACCCATGGACTACTGAGCATCTCAGTTTCAGTATGAGCTTACAAGAGGCTTCTAGTTGCAGGGCTCAGGGTTAAACAACCCAAGCTCCAATCCTCGAGGACAGCGATGTGTCGGATTTGCTGCGGTTGCACGTGGAGTCGGGCTCCAACCCCCGGCTGACTGCATGCGAATGGCTCCAAGCTTCCCGAGACCAATGGATCACTTGGATCCTTTTCTTGGTAGCTGAAATGCTACACCTTAAACTTTTTGGGAAAATATGATCCCTTATAGGACTGAAAGTGTACACTTTTTGTGGTTGTGAACTCGAAAACTAAGCTCTGCAAAGGAAATCACACGGGCTTTAGGTAAGGATTCTACTCACAAGGGTTTTATGTATAGCGATCCTGGAAGCGTGTTGTCGTTGGGCTTATATCTAGTGCTTAGGCATCCTTTCGGTTTTGGGGTCTCCCTCTGAACCCTGCAAGAGCAAAAGGGTGCCAGCTGCTTTCCCTGCGGAAAAATGTGCAGCTCAGGATACCATCGAAGACTGAATGCCTTGTCAGTAAAGGCTTGGTCAATGAGGCTGGCGACTTCGTAGCCAGGCTGGTTTTTAGCTCCAACATAGTAAAAAGTCTTACGAGCAATCAAAAACTATCACTAGACTCGTTTTAGTAAGGTGTCTTTTTTGAGTTGTGTTTCTTGAGCCGGAAAGACAAGCAAGCATCTAGGTGTTCAGTCCCCTGCAAGAGAAGCCGAGGTCACTTCTACAACCAATGCTGCTGATTGTGCCACTTGCCCACCTGGGCGAGCATCCGTCAAATTTGAGAGGACATCTAGACCCCAAGCGCCACAGCCTAAACCCGAATATCCCAAAAGCCTTGAAGCCTAATTCCTAAACTTCTTGGCAGAAGCACAGGGCCAAGCAGAAGACCCTAAAGTTAGGTTTTGGAGGTACCTTTACTTCTCTGTAAAAGAGAAATAGTTGGGGTTTTAAGGTCTGGTGAACCGTGTGGGGGCTTTTGTATTTGCTTGCTTGTTCCAACTATAGCCTGATATAGGCATCTCTCCTTAAATAGCTGTGGAGACCGGTATATAGATATTAATATGAATATGGATATAAACATAAATGTAAATACAAACAAATATAAATGTGTATGTCTATATATATATATGTGTATTTATTTATATTTATTTTTTTTATTTATATGTATATTTATATATCGGTTTATTTACTTACTTGTCTTTATTTATGTATTTACAACCCTACCGGTAGTCTCAGCATTGAAAACTCAAAACCTCTAGCCTAATCAACAACACCTATATCGAACTCGAAACCACGTTGTTTCGAGACCTCAGCACACGAGGACCTTCCTGTGTTCGAACTGCACGGTTGGATCCTATCAGCAGCCGAGCTTCCTTTAAGGTTCCTTCAAGGGTTCCTATGAGGGTACAGAAAAGGATTGGGGTCCTGCAAGGGAGTCCTTCATGGGTTACCATGATGGTTCCTCTAAGGGTTGCCAGCAGGGTTCTTCTTAAGGGTTACGTTCCTTCGAAGGTACTTAGGGTTTTTTTTGGGGGTTCAATCGGTTCCCGTGTTGAGTTTGTTCTTTCGGTTGTAGGGTGCTTGTAGTAGTTGCCATGTCGTACCCTTACAAAAGCGACGAAACCCTAAACACTAAGCCTCCCGATTGGAGCCCACGACCTCAAGGCTCCTAACCCAAGACAGGTAATGAGAACAAGATCCTTCCTCGACACCCCCACTGCCCCTCGATGTTTGTCTACATGTGACCATGGGGCTTTTAGGAATACTATAGGGGCCTTAATAATTCGAATGGGGGTTGGGGTATATTATATTATACTATAATTATACTAGGGAACCCCCAAAACCCTATTCTAATTATTAAGGCCCCTACATTACCTTTGGGGTCCTGGGTTTACCCAAGGAACGCCTGGGGTTCGACGACGTGCTTCTCCTGTGAGCCGGGCACGGTGGCAGCGGAGTTCGGGATGACGCAGTGCAGCCTTTGCAGGCCCTTTTTTCATTCAAGCTCTAGGGTTTTAGGGTTTAGGGTTTAGGGCTTAGGGTCAAGTTAAGCCCTAGACCCTAAACCCTAGGGTTTAGAGTTTAGGGTTTTTGGAGTTGTTCTTCAAGTTCTAGGGTTAAGGGTTTAGGGTTTAAGGTTTAGGTTCTTCAAGTTCTAGGGTTTAGGGTTTGGGAAGTTTAGGGTTTGTGGAGCTTTTCAACCCTAAACCTACCTGCAAACCCGTAAAGCCAAAACCTCAGAAGCCCCAACCCTATAGACCCCTATAACCCCGAAAGCCCTGAACAATTCTTTTTTTCGGGGGCAAAGTGTATGCTGTGGGCACATGGCTCCTTAGGGAATCGATTAGTATCCCCTTTGCCTTGAGAAGGAGTTTAATTCTTCCCAATTTCTGTAATCTTTCGTTCATTATGCAATGCGTACATTCCTACCATACTGTAGTTAGTTGGAAAGGTCAACCGTGTTGAAACAATGGAACCCGGTCAAGAGCCGACCCAAGAGAGGTAGGGCCTAAACCCTAAACTCCTGAACCCCCAAACCCCTAAACCCTAAACCCCTAAACCCCTAAAACCTTAAACCCTAAATCCTAAACCTCTAAACCCTAAACCCTAAACCCCTAAACTTCCCTATACCGTAGGTTGGGGGAGTTTGCGAACAGCTCCGGCATGAGCAAGTGCTTCCGCTGCAGCGCCCACCCGGGGTCTGGTCAGGCAGCTCGGTGTAGGAGCCCAATAGCTAAACTTTAAACTTCTTTGGTACATCAAAGCCGTGCTAAAAGAGAAGTTGAAACTTTTTTGGGCCAGGGCACTGGGCAACTAAGTCTATAAATGCCCAGCTTCACTTGCCACAAGCTACCTAAACCCTAAACCATAAGCCTCTTTTGCGGGGTCCCGCTCATACGGTTGATGATATAAATCCTGATTTGCCCATAGTAAGGAATATACCCGAGTTCCCACAGTTAAGGTAGTGCAGGATTTAGATCATCAACAGTAGTAAGACAAGTAAGACCCATCAAAAAGCCAGGCTATGGAACAACCCAAATGCCCGCAAGCCAGAATCCTGAGTTCTCTAGACACCACAGCAAGGAGCTTCAGAAAAGGAGGAGGGGGACCCCGAATGTAGGGTGTAGGGTTGAAGGCAATCGGGGCCCGTGGAAGGGCATAGAGTGGAGCATTTGAACCCTAAACCCCGAAACCCTTAAGCCCCTAAACCNNAAAAAAAAAAAAAACGCAGAGGAAGAGCTCTGGACCACCAGCCAAGAAGTCCTTACCGACAGTGGGAGCCAGATTATTCAACTTCAGGGGGCTGCCTCGCAGTCTCTTTGTGCCTGGCTCCTGATCTTGGCCCCAAGTTAGTTTAGGGCTTCGTGAGCTGATAGCAGCTTTCTTTCCTCCCAAAAACACCCCAAAAAAGGATTTGAGTCCGACAGTTAAAGAATTGTATTAAGGGGTTTGGGGCTTTGATTTTTTGTTGACGCAGAACCCTGCCAAGGAACCTTCAATTGCTTTCCACCATTAACGGCCTTAAAACCCTAAACCCTAA